CAAGACTGTGGGGGCCCTTTTGGGGCTTTTTTTTTTATTTTTCCCGGGAAAGGTCAAAAAGAAAGTTTTGGGTAATTTTTTTCTTTTTTTAAAAGGGGGGGGGGTTTTTGGGTCCCCGGAAGGGTTCGGGGGGTTTTTTTTTAAATTGTTTTAAAAAAAACATTTAGGGCCCCCCCGGGTTTTTTGGGTTAAAAATTAATAAAAAGGGGGGCGCCCCCGGGTGTTTGCCCCCTTTGGCCCGGGGGGGGGGCGCCCCTGGGGTTTTGGGCCCAAAAACCCCCCCCCCAAAGGTTAAAAATGGGTTTTTCCTCCCCCCCCCCCCCCCCCCGTCGAACTGTATTGTACAGTACAGTAGTGGCCCGATATAGTGGCACCCTGAATAGTGAAATACCCGATATAGTGGCATCAAAATCTCTTGCCACAATCTCAACCCGAAATAGTGGTATTGTACCACTATTGAGGACGGGGCTCTCAAGAGTGGCATTTTGGGCATCTTATCCCCCCAATAGTGGCAATTCAAAAGGTCGGAGCCCCCCTGTATTTCACCGCACGAACCACACACACACCGAGTGCAAGGTAGCAGCCTTGGTAGACGCGTGCAATGTTCCTCTGTTGCTATTGCATTTCTGTCTTTCATGCGGAGAAGAGCTTAACCTCCCCCATGCCGCCTCCTCACGGGTTCCCAGTGAATGGCATCTAGAAGTGTTTCGTGTTTTCTACCGCACTGAGACTGACGTCTTTTCATTGGTCAGCCGGTTAGCGCGGTCGATGCTAATAATAAAAAGACACACACGGCACTCACAGCAGCGGGCGCCACGCCACACGTATCATGCCAGCATGCGCGAGCTAGAGCTAAGAACACCGAACATTTTGAGAGCGAGGGGGGTGGAGGGATGAAGGCGCCGCCGTCGTTCGCGAAACTGTCTGCGCTTTTTGGTCCTCTAGAAGAGTACGCGGAGTCGTGTGGCATTGATTGGCGAAGCCGGGCATTTCCTCCGTAAGGCAAAGATTGTATTCTTCGCAGCACATGCCACTTGACCGGTAGTTAGTTGGACATCAGAAGACCGAGCGTTTACCCAGTCATAGCGTAGGAGCATTGGTCGGTTGACGCCTGTTGGTGCAAATTATTGTGACGGTTTGGATTGATGCGCCGGAGTGGGCAGTGTTCGGCGTTCTCAACTTAGTTGCTCCAGTTGGTTTCGCGTACATTGATGTTTTCAACATGTGTGTTTTGCTTGTGTTGAACCCCATCATGGATCGCCGGACAAAAACAAACTCGTATTTACTTTGTTTCTGTAGTCCGCCTGCACACAAAGGTAGGTTGGGACCGCCGAAGGCCTCGCTGCCACAAGGACGATCAAGTGTCAATGCACACGTGATGGGTAGACACCTGCGTTTTCACGCGGATGCTGGTGAACACAACAAAGGAGGGACCCTATGTACATATACAACGCATACGGGTGAAGATCCAACGAACAACTGCCCGCAGCGTCAGCATCAAAGCAATCCTCTTCAATAGTGGCATTATTGCCACTGTATCGAAGAGTGGTACTGCCCTGAATAGTGGCATGTTTTGCTCTTGCCACTACACGCCACTATATCGGGACCACTGTAGCATAATTTTTGTTCCCTCGCCAATTCGATTGCTGTTCCGCACATTTCGCTCATGAATTGTTTCGTTGTTTCACCATCAATCTGGTTGGGCCCTCACACACCTGCCCCCTTCGGCAACACAGGTGTATTTTAATATGTAGGTGCATTACTACTGTACTTGCGCGCGTGTGCATTGCGCAATCCCCCTGAAGTAGAAGGAGCGATTGGCCATCGGTGATCGGTCCTGTGGGAACGATGCTCCGTCCTCTCGAGGACGCGAGGTCTAGCAGATACCACAACTTCATGCAAGACACGAGCCCCCCCACCCCTTCCTCTTTCCATCACGCACGCAGGCCGACTGCTGTAACCACCGCACAGCTGCAGCATGCAGAGGCTTGTTCAAGCATGTGTGGAAGGCAACACCGAGAGGTTGACCTCCCTACTAGACAGCGCGATGAATCCTCGGGAGTTGGTGAACAGGAGGGAGGAACAGGGGTTTACTGCCCTTCACATCGCCGTGATGATGGGCGCGGCGGATTGTGCCAGAAAAGTGAGGACTCATGTTTTTTCCCTTTGCTTTCTCCATTGGCACATGCTTAGCAAGCATAAAAGGTTGTGTATTCGGAAACATCGTTTGTACTGAGCACCCCCAATGTGCCGGCCTTTCTTAGGTCGCGCGGAGCTCGCCTGACCCTTCTGAGCCTTTCCTAAACTCCTCCCATACTGTGTCGTTGCTGCTTCCGTTGCTTACTCTTTACACCTCTTTTTTCTCTTTCGCGTCTTTTTCACGGCCACTCCGGACTCCCTGGCGACAAGCAGCTCCTCGACGCTGGCGCAGACCCCAAAGCTTCCACTCCGGAAGGTGCCACCCCAATTACCATGGCTGCCCAGGGAACCGGGCAACCGGGCGCGCCCGAGCTGCAGGAGGGCGGCGCTGCGAAGTGCGTCCAGTTCCTCCTAGACGCCGGCGCGGATCAAACGGAGAGGGACAAGGTGAGTCCGGCCGGCGTGCAGCGGTCGGTTCCCGGCTCCAATTAAAAGAGGGAGAGAGTGCGAAGGGACTGCTATGCTTGTTTCTCAAGTCTTTTTTTAAGCTACTTGTGCTGTCTCAGGTAAGGGGGAGCACGACGGCTCCTTCTCTCGTTGTGTCGCACTTCCAACACCATCGGCTATTAAGTGAGGGTTTCATCCCTCAAAATATGTACTCCGTGATGCCGAGTTTTTGCCATGAACATGAAACTAAACGGGGCCCTTGCCTTCATTTTTCTTGGTCAACGTGGGGGCGGGCGGGTATCCAGGTGGTCGGCACGGTGCCGCTGCACACGGCCGTCTACTCAGGGCGGCTAGAGGTGTTCAATACCCTGCTGGCCGGACCGGGCGGGGAGGTCGCCGTTAATACCAAGGACAGTCAAGGCGCGACGCCCCTCCACAGCGCCTGCAGGGCAAAGGGTGCCGCTGGGCCCGTGGCCGCCATGGCCCTGCTCGAGGAAGGCTGTCCGGTGGCGGTGGATGTCAGCGTCAGGGACGACTCCGGGAGGACGCCTCTGTTTGATGCTGCTCACCACGGTCACGCCGAGGTGGTGAAGGTGTGTGTGAGGGAGGAGCTTGGCGATAAAAAAAGCAGCCGTGAGAGTAAAGCGCGCGAGCGTAAGTGAATCACGCAACCGGAGAGCGCGAGAAGACACCAGTGAAGCTTTGTGCTTCGTGTGTGTTGCTGTTGACACCGACCCCTTAAGGGAAAGTGATCCCGCCGGTACGAAGGTTTTGGGCCGACATAACGCGGATTAGAAAATGGCAGACACTCCGTGCACATCTCACATGGGGCGTCGGGAGGGTTTCTAATGATAACCTCGCACCTGTTGTGTTCACTGTAGCTCTCCCCCTGGGTGCTCAGGCTGACCCACCTCTTGTGTTCCGTGCACCGCAAATGCCCATGCACCGTCAGCTCCTTCTAGCTGCTGGGTCCGACCCATCTCTGCAAGACAGCAGCGGTCTGAGCCCCCTTTCGGCAACGGCCTGGTTGGGCAAGGAGGCTTGCCTGGACGCCATTCTCGGCACCGAGCGCGGCCTGGCCACCCTCGAGCTGACCAATAACCTGGGCGCCACGCCCCTCATCTTCGCCTGCCAGGAGAACAACAAGGACATCGCGAAGAAGCTCATTGCCGCTGGAGCGAGCCTCGACGCGAAAGACTTGTGAGTTCTGGTGTGTGTACAAATAAACAAATCTCCCCGCCACCGTGTTGTGGGAAAATCGAGTGCATGCGCTGTGTTGTTGTTCTTGTTTGTTTTTTCAGCAGAGGACTTGCTTGACGTGTGGTGTTTGCGGATTTTCTTCGTACACTCTTTCAAGCGTTTTAGTTGCAACAAGATGGTTGGCGACGGAATAATTGTAGAGTAGGTGTGGGGAAAATCGTCGATATCGATCTTCCCCTCGGCGCGTTTCTTGCTGCTTGCCGTTTTCCTTGTTGCGGCACGAATCGGCTGTGAAACCAGCTTGGGAGCTGGAGGGTCACGGAATACCGGGCGGATACAGGATTATTTATTTTTATCCTGCCACTGTTCGACCTTCAGCAGTACCTCTTGAGCGTTTCGTACTATTACGCTTCATCTCTCCATGACGCATTTGCTCTTTTTTCGTACGATGATGATCGGTCTAACAGTACGCATGTGTCGGCAAAGCTTGAGCACATGGCCCTACCCCCTCCCCCTCCCAACCCTACGTCACCACTAGGACGGGCCAGACACCGTACATCATCGCCAAGGCCCAGAAAGCGTCGGCCTGCTTGAAGCTCCTCACCGAGGAGCACGGCCGCCCCAGCCAAGAGGAGGAGAGCTTCAACTTCGATGGGCTTTCCATGGTTACCAACCTGGGAGGGGGCACCCTCATGGGCATGAGGGATGGTGGCGTGAACATGTCCACGACGCAGGAAACCACGCCGGATGGCACCGTGGAGGTCTCCATGACTATGAAGACAACTGAATCCGGAACCGGAACCGCTGCTGCTGCTGCTCCTGCTCCTGCTCCTGAGTCATAACGCGCGCCGTGCACTGGGCGGGGGGAGCACGCGATTTGTTTTTCTATGGTAACAATGAACCCAAGTGGCTCTAGTTGTAGTCCTTGTGGTGTGTGTGCATTGTCGCCTCCGTGTAGAGTGAATGAATGCGGCAGGGTGAGTTCTCAACAGGATACTCTGGTCGGAACTGCTCTGGCTGTTCTTTTTTTTAGATAATATACATGCCATCAAAGAATTATCCTTTCGAGATAATACCCCAGAGGATGTGTTGTAGTCTGTGCAGTTAACTTTTCTTTTTCATCTGCGGGGTCAAGTGGCGAGAGAGGCGGCGGCAGTGCTCCTTGCGCTCCTACTACAGCAGTACATTGTACAGCGCAGATTTATCGCACGACCCGTTCCATTCTTTCCACATTTTTTCCCGGTGGGAACGGAAAAAAAGCAAGAGTGGCTGCTGAAGCTCTGGGAGGTCGATCAGACCTTCCTCAATCACATAGGTAGGCATGGTCCACACTGTATGCGAAGAAGCTGGCTGGCAGGCTCTAATAAATGTGTCTCCGAATGCTACCAACGTCGACCTTGGTGATGCCCTTATCGCGCATGTTGCGCATGTCGCGCATGCAAAGGTACCATGCGTGTGTAAAATTCCTCAGATACACCACCAATCTTTTCCACGCCGCGATTTCGAAAAATGTCGTTTGTTTGACGACATGCAAAAGCGCAAAGCAGCTTGTGACTTGCTGGCTTGACTTGGTCTTTGTAGGGCAGGAATACCCCACAGCAGGACCTGGTGAAGGTATAGCACCCTCCTCCGAAAGGAACACGACAAACTGCTGATGAACGTAAAGGGGTGTTGACGGGTACAGACAGCTCGCACCAACCGCAATATTGCTCTTGGTTGATAGTCTTGTGACGATATATGTCTGCGTGTTGCATTGAGTGCGCGCGTGCGCGGGGCATCTCTATGGAAGATGGGGGCGCCTCAACATCACTTTGGAACAGAACAATTTATGCCGCACAAAACCGTTCCACCCCCATCGCCAAATATATCTGCGGAGCCCCCGGTGATGTTCTGGTGTGAGTAGTCAGTACACTGAGAGCAGTGGGCTAGCTGCAGGAGCCGTAGAACGGGCTGCTCGCGTCTGTCTCACACCGGTCAAGCAGGCCTTCTCTCTCTCGCTCTCCCCCTCTCTCTCTGTCTTGTTTCTTATGGCATTGCCCAAGTCCCGCTCCAACACACGCATCAGTGTTCTCACCGGGACGCAGAAGAAGTCTCCGGCGAAGGTAGGAGGAGGGAGCAGCAGCAATGAATCCACGAGGCTGTACCACCTCGCGTCGGCCGGCACCGGTGGCGCGCCTGGCGGGAGACGAAGAACGCTCGGCCGGAACGTTCCCCTCGGGGGCGGAGCAGGGGGAGGGGGCGGCTACGGCACCTACCAGCCCTTGCGACCTCTCTCGAACCCGGTGGAGGATTGCCTTCGCGCCGGAGCCGCGGGGCTGGGGTGGTGCCTCCTGTCCTGGTTCACAGGCGTTGTGCTCCTGGTGCTCGAGTACGCGAAGAGGTGGGGTGCTCACAGAGGGACCGCTGAGCCGGAGTACGACGAATCCCCCCAGTGGCTCGTGTTCTCGCCCTTCTGGGTCGGGGACGGGCTGGCTCTGCTCGTGCTCGTGCGAGTCATGGCCAAGGTCACCAACATTAGGTTTGTGACTCCCGCGCGCAGCAGAGGCGCAAGGCGCGGCGACGCGCGCTCTCGCTCGACGGGGAGCCTCAATGATCTGTCGGGCCACGGAAGCAACGCTGGCGGCGGCGGCGGCAGCCGACTCGCGTGCGCGCCGATAACTCTGGACTACTTTCCGCTGCTACAGAGAGTCATCGCCACCTCGGTCGGAGCGTTCCTCGTACTGGTCGTCTTCACGACGCAGCAGGTGCTGATCTGCCTGCGGTGGGGAAGGGAGGCGGACGCACCGGGCGTGCCGCGACCGCTGGTGGTCGCGGCGCCGCTGCTGTTGGTCGAAGCGTTTTTCTTGTTGAGGGTGGTGCTCATCCGCACGTACGGGTGGCTGTCCGGACTAACGTGAGTTTTTTTCAAGATGTCCTGCTGCTGCTGTAGCAGGAAGTTGGTTGTCGACACGACGGGTAGACTGCTGGATGTATGCGAATGATTTTGGGGGAAAAGATTCGCGAGCCCTCCACCTCCTGTCTGCCGCCTGTTTGCCGTTCATCGGTGTCCTGTGGCTCGCTGGTCTGCGACGAATTTGCAGGTGTACTAGTATTTGCTCGCGCACCACGAAAATATTTTGTGTGCCACAGCAGCTGTTGCGGACCGTCTGCATACTTATTTTCAGACACATGAGCATGAACGACATTCGAGCAAGCACCTACCAACGCATGACACGGGCCTGCATTCCCAACTGTGCCCCCCCCCCCACCTCACCCCGCGCGCGCGCACTCGCCCTCCGCGCCCAACGCCCCCCCTTCAGCTGGCTGCTACTGTTTTCGTTGACGATATTGGTGGCCCTACGAAGCGGCGCCAACTCTGGCGACGACGCCGACGGTGCGTCCGGCGGGCTGCAATCGTACCCGTGGCTCGAGTGCCTGGCGCCGCTGTGGGTCGTGGACCTCCTGTACGCCGGGGTGGCGGGCTACGTGGCGGCCAACACGATGGCGGGGAGGTTCGTGATGGCGCCGACGCAGGGGCTGTGCTTCGCCCTCCTGCTGGCCGCGCTGGCGGGGTCGACGGTGGCGGAGATGCTCTTGACGGGAGACCACAGGTACGGCACGGTACGGTATGGTTACCGCCACCAGGGCGTTTTTTATGGGACGGGAACTGCTGTAACGCGTATATTATGGAGTAGGGGGAAGGGCACAGTATACACGCAATGGCAGGACATGGTGTGTAGACGGGAGTGTTGCTGCACTGCTGCCGAAAGATGAACCGATAAGCGGAAGCGACATGCTGCTAAGGTTGCCTGCCCCTGCCTGATGTAAGGTGGAAGCTGACCCACTCTGTCATGTAGTCTCACTTGAGAGGTGTAGGTGTTCAGCGCTGTTGCTGTCCTGCAAGACTCCTGCCACTTGTTATGCCATCAGTGCTAGTACACGTGGTAGTTCTCTGCGGAACGCATTTATACTGGTCGGAACTGCGTGAAATGCGCCACGTTTGGTTCTGTGCCTTACAGATGCAAAACCCATGTGTAAGGCAGAACACAGTTCATGCGGTGGGGCCTTTGCAAGTCTGCCGAGGACTTGCAGCACCGCGCACCACGAATATCGTGGCCAATGCCAGACATGCCCCCGAACCATCAGAACTGAACAAACCTTACTACGATAGCGTGCCTTCCTATTGCTACTCTCTCAAGTTACTCTCTCAAGAACCAAGGCGTTGCTCCTGTCCTGTTTCTGTCTCCGGGGGGAACGCGCTGCGGCTGGCAGGCTGCACAAGCTGTCCGACAAGGTGCCTCGGTTGGAGTACCTTCGGCTGGACATGCCCCTTCTGCTCGCCGTTGCGTCCCTCATGGCGTTCTGCCTCGCTGTGTTCCTGTCTGTGGAGCACTCGGTGTCGATGCTCATCAACACGCACGGGTGAGCGCGGGAGATGAGCGACATGGCCGATCGGGGGTTCGGGGGTGAGGGTGGGGTGGGACGAGGTCGGGGAGGGAGAATCTTTGAGTGCGAGGTTGTTCATGCCAGGAACGGATTCCTATCACTCATTATGGTTGTCGTAGGCATCACCCGCGTGTTGCAGTCTCTACGTTAGGAGTACCGAAGCTTCCCGTGGGCTCCGTACAGAACCAATTGTTTGAGGCATGCGAAGATTAGTTCGTCACGGCACATTTCCTTGGCCACAGATTTACCTCCAACACACACACAGTTTACACCGCGGGGGTTTCGAAGTTTGAGCTTTCGAGATTGACGTGTAATGTGAACACGGCAGCTCTTGAGTCATCCCCCCTCAGCAGGACAAGACGGTAGCTGTACTGGGGTACGACAAAGTGGGCTGGAAACGCTTGAGGTGATGTCGATAGGATAGCGAATTTTTTTTTTGATCCACTGTTGACCAAGTAGGAAGGAACGATTGGCCTTCGGTGATCGCTCCTGTGGGAACAACTCTCCGTCCTCTCGAGGACACGCGCTCAACGGTCCAAAACTAAGGCATGCGAAACATGAATACGCCCCCCCTCCCCCCCCCCCCTCGCCGCGCGTTTCTCCAGCTACGACGACCCCCTTCCTCTCTGCGAGACTCCCAGCGGGTGGGAGTGGTCCGGGGCGGGGAAGGCTTCGTGGGGGTTGTTAGGAGACGTCTCTGTGAGAGCCGAGAAGAAAGTGGGGCTACCGGCAGGGTTTTCGGGGTGAGACATAATTCTAATTTTCCCGATGTTGTGTGCACGTAGTATCCATCCGCATTCACCGCTCCATCTCAGGCGGGAGGAGCGCTTGTTGGATCGGCTACACTCTCGAATCGCGCCTCTGGCGGTGTTATCTGTCCTCGCTAAAACGGAGCAAGAAACGAAAAAGCGTGCCATCACGCCAATCGGCACCGTAGTATGACGGCGGATCTATGAAACAGCAGCGGCGTTCTTTTTGCTTGTAAGGTAGATCCGCCCCGAGGACAAAACAGTGGCAGCGCTGCTTGAGAGATGGTTTAACAACCTCACGCCGTTGTTGCATAGAAGATCTTGGCGCCGCACGCCGCTGTCGCGCTCGTCGGCACACAACGAGGCGCTCGCCCGCGCTTCTCCGGCGGCTTGTTACCGCACGCGTCCCGGTATGTTCCAGTGTTTCATGCGCACACCCGCCCTTCCTTCGTCCCTCCCTCCCTCGCTCCCTCCCTCCCTCGCTCCCTCCCTCCCTTGCTCCCTACGTGCGTCGTGTGCGTTGTTTGTTTTGTGTGCTATTGGATTCGTGGGAACTCCTC